GGAGGTTCGAGTGGCTGCAGACAGTTGAACTGAAGGAGAAAGTATTATGCGGATGAACTGTGGGGTAGGAAAAAGGGTTACGGTTAATTGCAGATGGATACAGTGATTTCAGTGAGATGGATGTAGTTCACAAAGAAGGGTTATGACAGCGATATTAGATGGTGGGCGACTGAGGATTGTTGGTGGAAGGATTGGGGTTGCAGAAGAAAACAAAGTTATCGTTCTTGGGGCAACTGTAGCAGTAATGGTGACAAAGACAACAGAGGGAAGGTTACAAAGGATGAGAAGGTCGAGGCAAATTACTACCTCGAAACGAGATATAGCCTGAGCAACACTCACTCTTGAATATAGCCTTAGAAGAGAAACTTAGAGACATCAAATGTTGTTCCAACAAAAACGCCAAAACTAAAAAACTAAAATACAAAAAATAAACATATAGTAATAGGACAATTAGAAGTGACCCAGGAGTAACAGCCAAATCCTCAGAAAAAAGAAAGACCCGGATCGAACTGGTTCAGGCAAGTAGCAGAGCGCTACTTTTCAATCACGAAATTTCTCACACCAATATGCCCACGTCACTTAGACTGGGAGATCCAATAATATAAAGCATAATGAAAGCAAAACCTTTAAACCAAATAAATTGGAACTAGTCCATAGTAGAGATATAATATATTAACTTCACTTCAGCAACTTTTGAAAAGATATTCTCATGGCAACAAAAAAATCTCATCTGACCTCATAACAAATAAATGTATCATAAATAATGCTGCAGCACAAAAACGTAAAAAGAATCAGGAGAAGGGTGCAGAATCCAGTTTCCCTCCAAAATGATAAAGTTTAACAAAGCATTGCTGGGTAAATTGAACATGCAAAAACAGAAATTTCCTAAATTTTCCAATAAAAGTACCCCCAATCCAAGGATAAAAAAAGGAGAAATATTAAGCCCATCTCCAATAGCAAAACTAAACCACCTCATCATTAATAGTGGCAAGCTCCCTCCAAAAATGATAAACGCATATAACGGATCATTCCAAGGGAGTGATACCCTATGCATCAAAAAGAGAAAGGATTTGAAAGGTTTAAAATTCTCCAAATCATCTTCACTTTGCAAAGAGCATTCCGAGAGGAAATAGAAGATAACACAAATACCCCCTTCTCACTTTGAAGAGTAGCCTTGACCCATGAGAAAGTATGGACATTCCCCATAACATCTCCCACCAAAAGCAGCTAACAATAGAAGAATTTTGCTTTATAACAAATTTTGGAGAGTAGGCAAAACAGTGGCACTAAGACCTAAGACAACTAATAGAAGAACAAATGAGCTGATATCTTCCAGCTATTGAAATACACTTGTTATTCCAACCTGCAAGTCAAAAGTTGAGCTTGTGCATGAGATGAATATAATCCTTGAATTGAACCTAATATGTTGTAACCGAAAGCCCCTACTATTTAAGAGAAAGGTGGTAATTGAAAACGAAGAATAGCACACAGAAAAACCGTACTATTAACATCCTTAGAGAAGCATATTTTAGATTTAGATTGAATCACTCATAGACCAATACAGCTCTTAAACAAAAAAATCTCATTGAGAGTTGAAATAAAGTACTGATTAACTTGGCCAACAACTAGAAGATCTTCTGCAAAAGTAAGCTATGAAATGGAGATCCCATCATTAAATATGGGTATAGAACTTCTCTTGGGCGCTTTGGAATATTGAAGATAGAAAAACACAACCATGGCAAAGGTAAGTAAGAAAGGTGAAAGAGGGCAACCCAATCTAAGCCCAACAAAGAATTAAAGTATCCTTTAATTTCTCCATTAAAAACGACAGAGAATGGGACTCAAGTAGCACAAGCGGCTATCCAATTAACATTTTCTTAGATATACCTTTTTGAATGACCTATTAAGAATCGTTTGTCTGTTAACACTATTGAAAACCTTTTTAATGTTTAATTTTGCACAGAAAATTTTGCCAAAAGTAGAAAACTTGAATAGATGTGTGAGTTCATAAGCAAGTGCAACATTGTTCACAATGTCTCTATTTTTAATAAAGGCAACATGAGCTTTATGCACAATAAACAAGAAGAGCACCAATCAATTAGCTGCAATTTTTACAATAAGGTTGTCACATTGACATGGGACGATAATCAGAAATGGTATGTGCATGAGATTACATTGGGAGCCTGGGACTACGCTTGACAACTGAGGGCTTGGATAGAATTATAAATAGCTTTGACAAGTTGATTGCCCCAATATCCAAAGAATAAGTAAGAAATATGACATCAAATCCATCCGCTCCCACAGACTTATTCTTTACAATGCTATGGAGGAATGATATAATTTCCTCAACCAAAGTTGAATTAATAAGCAGAGAAGATAGGCTAAATGATAGAATAGTCCCACATGAAATGGAAAAAAGAAATGGCATGGAAGTTGTATCCATGTTATATAAGTCATAATAATAGAAAATGATGTGATCCTCAAATCCAGATTGAGGGGTGATGAGAAGTGATCGCATCACCCCCATCAAAAGGTTCCCTTATGGTATTAATATTGCTCCACTCCTTAATAATATTATAAGGAAACTGAACATCATCATCTCTTCTCGAAAACTAGATTATCATTATCCTGTCACTTGATCCATTGACTTTCACGAGAAATTACATGAGAATATTTGGCATTGGAATCCTTTGCCGATAAGATCAGCATAGTATGGATCATATTTGAGAAGACTTAGATAGAGCTCTTGATCAGCTTTCAGCGAAGCAACCATTTGCCAAAAGTTGGAGCTATGTTCAACAATTGATCCTTTGAGAATAGCTTTCAAAGCATTAAGCTTTTTGTACAAAACAAAAATGAGAACACCACTCGCATCTTTCCAAGCAAGCTCTTACTTTGCTAATGAAGTCATTAGAGTTTGTCCAAAAATTCAAAGGCACATCTATATTTAAAAGTGTGAGGATTATCCAGAAAGACAATTAGAGGATAATGGTCAAAAGAAAGGGTATGGAAGACCATATAAAATGAGGCAGGAGAAACATTAGCCAATGGAAATTGCATAAGCAATGATAGAACTAAAACTAAATGAAGTTTTTACTCTGGTTATTGGACTAAGTAAAAGAGAGACCATCACTTACCAAATCCAGAAGGCAAATATTAAACAAACATTCATTTGAACCATTCCTTTAGGTTATTAATATTGATCCACTACTTAATGGTATTATAAAGAAACTAAATATCATCCTCTCCTCTCGAAAACTAGATTATAACTATCATGTTGCTTGATCCATGACTTTCACAAGAAAGCAACATAAAAATATTTGCCATTGGAATACTTTGCCTATAAGATCAGCATAGTATGGACGACATTCAAGAAGACTAAAATAAAGCTCTTGATCAGCTTTCAGCGAAGCAACCATTTGCCAAAAGCTGGAGCTATGTTCCACGATTTATCCTTTGAGAAAAGCTTTCATAGCCTTAAGCTTTTTGTACAAAAATAAAAATAAGACAACCACTCGCATAATCTTTCCAAGCAAGCTCCACTTTGCTATTGAAGTGATTAGTGTTTGTCCAAAAATTCTTAAAGGCACATCTATGCTTAACAATGTGAGGATTATCAAGACATTTGAAGGATAATGGCCAAAAGAAAGGGAATGGAAGACCTTATAAAATGAGGCAGGAGAAACATCCAGCCAATGGGAATTGCATAAGCAATGATCCAACTAAGGTCGCATTTGTCTCAACTTTTTGACCCACAGTCGCTTCAGAACCGGATTTTAAAGCGTTTGGAAGGAGCATTTCGTCACTCCCGTTTCAAACCCGTTTTTCATTTTTAATGACATTTTTAATGAAAAAGGGAATGCAGCAACAAGTGTGTCCCGTGGTTTTAACCTTTTTGTCCGGTTTACCCATGCTGCAATGTTCTAATCATACATTCCAAGATCTGATGCAAGGGGCATGCATAATGGTTATATAGGACCTATGATAATTGGGCCTTTTGTGTGGACTTTTGAGTTGGGAGAACTTGTTTTGTCTAATCTTGAATTTTTTTCTCATGAGTAGCATAGGTTTGAATAATGGTGGATAAAGCCTCAGTAACATGGGTCTCCTTTACAAGTTAGCTCATATCACCTCTAGCATCAAATTCAGTAATAGAGTGTGATTCAAAGCCGAGAGTAAGGGAAGTATTGAGATCGCTAAGCAAACCTACGAGATCCTTGACTATGCCTTGGGATGGAGAGGCTATGGCAATGGTAGAGGGAGTAACAAGTGTTTGGTGGATCACAATCAGCCGTGAAAAAGTTGAGGGTTCTACAAATGATGTAGCGGAAGGAGGAATGTGATTGGATTTTTAGGTTTCAAAAGGGTGAAATGGAGCCAGAAAAGAAGGCTTCAACCCTTGGGATAGCCTTTGCATCTACCCCTACGTCTCCCCCTTCCATTGATCACAATAGTCGAAGTAATAGGATATTTTGGGCAAGCATAGGTGCCATATCCGTAGGTTTCCGATCATAAACTGCATCTTGCTTAATCTTCAAACCATTAAGGTTAATAAAAACATTCTTAGACAATGGAGAAGTAGTGTCAACCTGAACACAAACCCTAGCAAACGTAAGCCGGGATTTGGAGTTGGTCAAATTGTCCACCAATAAAGATATTCCAATTTTACCAGCCACTTTTGATCGACTCATTCCAGCTGAAAGCAAAGGTAAGATACCTGAACTTCTACTACAGTTAAAACTAATGAAAGAGGCGCAGAATCCCACGAACTATTGAAAAGAAGAAAAAAAAAAGTGTAGCATTTCAGCATGTTTCACATAACAGGTTGGATTGAAGCTAATTAATAAACAGAAATTTTAAACATGAAGTCAAGACGCAATTCAATAATCGGAAAAAACAAAATATGGAGGATAACAGAATCACACCACGAATAACAAGATGATAATTTAAGGCGTTGTAAGAACCATTTGAAGATGAGAAGGGAGACGACGAAACCCTACCTTCGTCTCAATGATCGCGACTCCTTTTCGCACCAGCAGAGTTTCTCGGTGTTGTAACCAAGTTGAGCCAATGATTTTTTATGCACTGTATCAGGGTAGAGTTTCTCGGTGTTGTAACCAAGTTGGGAAAGAAAATAGGGAAGGAGGAAGATGACCAGCTCCTGATGAAGCGACCGAGTGACCCTGAAAAATGGCAAGCCAACGGAGAACCGACACGTGGTTATAACGAACAGCTTTGCACCGCGCTGCTTTTATTTAATAAATTATTCATAAAATTATTTTTCAAACGAAAATACTCTTGCATTAAAATTTGCAGGATAAATCCTACATTCATGTAATATTCTAATTTATTATAAAGTAAAATTTTCTCCATTACCACTCCTCTTATGTAATTTCTTTCAATGCAAAGAGGAAATTGTTTATATTTTCTTACTTAAATTATAATGCATTAATTATCTTCTACAATTCATTAAATTTTTCTATCTTTTAAATATTTGTAACAAATTTAAACACTTGAATATTTGACTTAATATTTTATGTTGTTGCATTTATTTATACATGAGATCAGTTATCATAAAGTTATAAAGCATTAATATATGATCTAGTGAGGGGAAAATGAGAATGTGTCTATGATAGCAAGGAAAACACGGGTACTAAAATTCATCCTAGACAATAGACAAAGTGACTAGATAAAAAAGGACAGCACTGAAATTATCATTCATCATTAAAGCTAGTCAAAAGAAGCTAATAATATATGTACAATAAGAAAGAAAGTGTGGGGACAAACATACAACCTAGGAAATAGACGAAGTGACTGAATTAGGAAGGACGGCGTTGTAACTATTATTCATCATGAGCTAGTCAAAGTAAAGCTAAGAAAGTTTCTACACTAAGAAGGAAAGTGTGAAGACTAGCATACATCATAGAAAATAGAAAAAGTGACTAAACCAGGAAGGACAGTTCTGGAACTATCATTCAGTCGGAGAGCTAGTCAGAGGAAGCTGAGAATGCTTCTAAACTAGAAAGGAAAGCACGGTGGCTAACATCCAACCTGGGAAATAGATAAAGTGACTAGATTAGGAAGGACAACAACGAAACTATCATTCAGCCCAAGAGCTAGTCAAAGGAAACTAAGAATGTGTCTACACTAGGAAGGAAAACGTAGAGACTAACACCGGCTCAAAGAAATAGACAAAGTGACTAGATAGGGAAGGACAGTGATAGAACTATCATTCATCCTGATAGCTAGTCAAAGGAAAAGTTTATGTTGATAGAGAAGTTGGTTTAATTCTATTGAGAAAATTGATTCAAATGTACTGGGGAAGTTTGAAAGTTCATGTTGTTTGTGTTCTGTGAATTTATGTTGTGCCTAAAAATGTTAGAAAAGAAAATATAATAATTTATTTTCTATCTAAGAGGTGTGTGGCGGTGGCTCGGTCAGGATAGATAATACGGGATCTAACCTGAATACAAGTTAGGTGATCAGCTTAAAGTAGGTAGTTCAAGGACTGACATCTATCTTAAGCTCTAACCCAATTTTCTTAGATGTGAACCATTGGGCTTTGGGCTTCATCCCGATAATATAGAGCCAATGCTAGTTTATTCTTCTATTCCACACTAGACAGGCACAATGATTCTAACTTGGTGGTGTACAATGGCTATACTAGAACCCATCTAAAATTTACAGAGCCAAGGCGTCAGTTCTTATTAACTGATGCGTGAACAGAAAACAAATTTGAGAAAGGAAAGACATACGTTCGGTGTTTGATGAGTTAGGCTGAGTAAAAGAAATGACGAGGGAGTTTCTTTAACTCAGAATTAACAACTCAAAGCATTAATTAATATCATTAATTGTAATTATGATCAAATTAACAAATTTGTTCTCATTATGATTGTGTCACATGGGGATACTCAAACATTCGATGGATCCTCCACTAGACCTGTGGAAGGGAATGTTTAAGGCCAAACCGGATCTAACTGCCTTACCACAAGGTGTTCAGTGATTCTATTAGAGGATAGTAATTATACTCTAAGCTTACTTAATCAAGGCATGAACTACATAACCAACTAATTATTGATTAATAAGCCATCGACCTAGGAAACTTTCTTCACAGACATTCAATAGGCTATCTGATTGGAAAGGTGTCCATTGATTAATCCTTGATTTATAAGTCTAAGGTGTTGAATTGATTGGACTCAAAAACCCATCGACATCAGCTAGCCTTCTTGACTTTATGGGGTAGTCCACCCTAGCTTCAAGAACTGTGTTCTGACACAGATTTGGGCAACGCCTGACTCTAAGAAGTGGTTACATAGACATATCCATAACCTATTTTTTCTCAGATAAGGCATCAATTCCATTAGAGTTGGATATAGACCAATCAAAACTGACAGGCTCTAAAGGAAAGAATAAAAATATCTCATCGGTGTGTGATAAGATAGATTGAGATAAAATTTGTCAAGAGACTTACCTTAACTCAAAATTACTAATCTAAAAGATTAATCTACAAAACAACCTTGACTGGCTTAAGATCAATCAACCTTATCTCATTGTGATGGTGCCACGTGGGGCGTACTCTAACTTCTAATGAACCAAAGCCAAACTTGTGGATATTTTGAATAAGATCAAACTAAGTTAGATAAACCTTTTTTAATGTGTGATGAGCATACTAGATTAGAGTAAGACATACCTCAACCCGGACTTAATAACTCAAAGAATTGAAGATTATAAGGAGGTCAATCAAACTAATCACATTATATTGATACCACCTGGGTCATACTCAAACTTATGATGGACCTAAAGAAGGTTCAAATAAGGATTATGATGGCTAAGCTGAAGGGGACAAGTGAGACGTAGAAGCTACATATGCACTGGTGAAGAAGTGAGCATCAAAAAGTGTCGCGACCATCATTTTTTAATGATGCAGGTGTTCTGTCAGTTTGGTGTTGATGAGGCATCCATTTTGATAACAGACGACATCATTTTCAACACTTATTGACTATTTCATCATTACAAAATTATTGTGGCCTTCATTTTAATGAAACAATTGTTCCATCACTCCAGGTCAAGGATTCATTAGTTTATTAACTGATAAGACGACTATCAGTTAAGGCTACTAATATCTAATTAGTTGTTGCAACACCGATAATAAACAATCAGATATCTGTAGCATCAGCAAAAAAATCCCTCTTTGGTATTTACATTACCACACCTAGAATCACAATATTTAATTAACTATTCGAAGCATTTAACAGACTAAAATCTTATTCAAATAGTAAATTATTCAATTGATCTCGACTGCTTATATGCAACAGTATAACAATAGCTCTGATTATGTTATTCACTTATATTTTCTTATTTTACAACAGTATATGCAACATTATAACAATAGATCCTGAAGAAAAATAAGAATTTAATTTTTTTTAATTTATATATATTGGGATAAAACGCAAGTATACGTATCGTTGATACACTGAAAGTATATATATTTTTAGACTCGTATTTTATACTCATTTTGGTGATATTGCACTTTAATGGAAGATATTTTGATGTTTTCTTGCAGGTTGTTGATTTTTAGGGCTTAAAGCAAAAAGAAAGCAAAAAAGATTAAATTTGGAGTCAAAATTACGTTTTTGAAGAAATGCTCAGCGGCGGCAGCGCGAAAGCAAAAAAGATTAAATTTGGAGTCAAAATTACGCTTTTGAAGAAATGCTCAGTGGCGGCAGCGCCGAAAATGCTCAGGGGCGGCAGCGCCGAGGTTAGCACCGACGGCGCCAAAGGCGGTGCAGACCCTATTTCTAAAAGGTTTGATGAATTTGGATGATTTTCTGAAGAGTTTTTGGAGGCACCTCTTGGAGAACCGAACTTGGGCTCTATTTAAGGCCAAATTTCATCAGAAAATATGCTCCTCTACGTTTTTCACTCATCTACGTTCATTTTTTGCATCACATCATTTCTTTCCACTACCAAATTGGAGTCAATTTTTTATTTTGCTTTCATAGTTTAGAGTTTTAGTGGTGAGATTTAATGTGAAACTTTCTGTAAGAGTGTTGGAGATGGAGAAAAGTGAGAGATGTCTTCTTCCTACATTTCTAAGGAAATGCTACAAAGGATTTGCTTTGAGAAAGAGTTTTCAGATAAGTATTGTTTGTTTATCCGTGTTGTATGTACTTTCTTTTATATATGAAATTTGTGTTTTGTTATTTCTTTCTCATGAAGTTTTGGTGAAATGAAGAGATAATATGAATGTGCCAATATTAAATTGTAAAATAAATTGTGATGATTTTTCAACTCCAAACTTAATTTAATTTTCAATCTGACCAATTGAATTGTTAAAATGTGTTGTGAAACATATGATCCGGGAAATGAAGTATGGGTTATATAACAGAGTGAGGATCACATTTGATTTTATGGAGGAGAACATTGTTCATGGAATTAAGTGCAAATAAATAGAGAAATATTCTTTGTTGGGTGTAGAATTGGAGAACCTTTAGGGTGACAGACTAAAATCTTCAATTCGGTCTTATTGTTTAAAAACTGAAGCAAGAGCTAGCCTTCAGGTGAAAAGAAGTGGGAGCTCTGGAGTGGGAGCTGGTATCCTCCTAGCCTAGCCACGGATTTAGGGACTGAACACTGAGATTATCCAATGATTTTTTATGCACTGTATCAGGGTAGAAAATTAAATTTCCTCCTATTTGGCACAATACATATTATGAACATTTATCTCATCTTATTTTACCATAGCTTCATTGTAGTGGGAATAATGTTTTTTCACATAAAAATCTTAGTTACATAAACATAGTTAATAGATTAGTATTTACTATTTTAAACTTTGCATTTTTGATTTGATAATAGTTTAGAAATTTAATTTTTATTATATCTCAACAATTGAAATTAGTGACAGTGATTTCAATTGACTTTCTGTGAATTTCCTAGCAAATTTATCATTTCCAATTTATCATTAGCAAATTTATCATTTCCAATTTAAACCTTCCTCGTGGGATCGATATTTGGGGCTTAAATAGAAAATTCATTATTACTTGATAACGATATGTATACTGACG